CATTGACTTTAAAATTCCAACCTTAGTCTTGTAACTATGGTTGGAAAGACAATTAAGCAAAGGGCCAACATATGTAGGCTTTCTATAAACATTTCTTCCCAACTTACCCTTTTCTCTAATGATGAGAATATCCAGAAAAGGTAAGAACTTATTCTTTTCCATTTCCATCGTGAACCCAACGTTCTTTTCACGCTGGTTGAGTGAAAATAAAAAAACTATCTAAATTATCCTTACCATGAGGCCAGATGACAAAATAGTCATCCATGTATCTAACCAACAATCTGGGTGTTAGTATTGCCTTTTGTAGGAAGTGTTCCTCCAATTTTGCCATATAGCTGTTGGCTAAGATGGGAGACAGGCAAGATCCCATCGCTAATCCTTGAGTTTGTTCATCTAACTTATCATCAAAGGTAAAATATGTGGTACTTATGCATAGATTAATAAGTCTAATAATTAAAGCCGTTCAAAATAGGAATCGTTTGGCTGGATCATTGAGAATGGGCCGAAATTAGCCGTTAAGTTTACTTCATGCTTCAGCATTCCTAAAGCCTTCTGGTCATAAAAATTATTCGTTTAAGTGAAAAGTTTACCTTGGCCAAATTTTGAGTTGGCAATTATCCTGCCTATTCTATAGGAGATAAAGACTCATAGTTACTCACTCTGACGGTAGACCCTAATTAGCGCCCGTCTGAAAAATGTGAGTCTCTTAATGCTACATAAGCCCACGCTTCGGTTAACCAGCCAATGGTCTTGCTGGCATAATTTTGATACCGAAATGAATTCGGGCTCATTAGAGGCCCTGATATCGGACATGTCTTCGGAGAGGGTATCGTCATAATCGGCAAAGCTAAGTGAGATTTGGGACGGCCGACGCTCATAAACAATTCAAGAATCTTTACTTAATAACGCGAAAATGTGTGAGGTTGTCCACTGTCTCGTCTGCCTTTAAAGATGCGAATTACTTGTGCGTGTTTATGCTAAACAATGGTGTAGACACGTCGAATATGCTTGAAAAGGTTATCAATCAGGTCAAACTGACGAAAGGTAACGGCGTGCCAAATGCTCTTGGAACGAGGATTGTGTTGTGTTATGCGGACAGTGAAAACAGGCGGTAGTTTGTAATAGCAGGCGACACAAAGGCGTTGAAAGACGAACGGACGCATGCATGCGCACATAAAATCAGAAGCGCATCCGGAACTCTGCTGCGGGTCTGATTGCCTCCACAGGATCTGGTCCAACACACATTCGGCCTAAGCAGGAAATCATAAAACAGGATCATGAGTACGGAGTTCACAGTAAAGAATCGATAGGAAACAGAGATTATAGAAGATGGGACTGAAAGTTGAGGCAGATTAAGATAAAATGGTTTAGATGATGAGTTCTTAATCCCTTTTCTTCTACTTCACGATGTATACAGCCTTAAAACTGGTCTGATAGTGTAGACCTTTATTCCACACGTCTGCTCATTGCCCAACACTTCCACCAATAGGCAATTCATTAGAAAATCATTCTAAAAGAGATTAAGGAGGATAAAATATTAAAAGCTGAATTTTCCTGCAATAATATGTGTGCATCCTATGTTTCTATTCGAGTACACATAACTTTGATTCACAAAAATTATTCTCATCCGAACAGGAGAAACTGCAGTTTCGACCTCGCTTAGGTCTCATCAGCATACAAATAGCAGACCACTAAACTCATAAACAATCCGCTTCACTGAATTGGCTATTGGAGCTTGGAATAAAGTGTTCTTTGGAGAGACATTCTTCGAATCATCC